CGCGACGTTTACGGTATAATGACCTGCACGGGGGGGGGAATGTTATTATATTTCGGTTGTCGTCCGCTTCCGCGTTACGAGGAGGAAGTAATATTCCAAAGGAAAAAAGGTCATAACAAGATGTGGAGTCCACAATAGCTGTTACGGAGGATCAAAAGATTAACAATGGGCCACCTGACGTCTATTTAATAACCGACTTCGTTATCTCGGCTTTGCTACCGCCGTGCATGCATCCCGGAACTCTTTCGCCAGTCAAGCACGAGACGCAATTACGCAATAAGCGTCTCTGAAAGTACAACGTTTTCCGTTTAAATGAGGCTTCTCTCTCTCGGAGGGTTTCGTTATATCGCAAAAATAGCTCGTATCTGCCGCGCACGAGGCTGATATTCGTGGATCGAAAGTGGAGAAAAAAGAAGGTTGCGCGGTCGCGGACGAAGTCGCCCCGTCGTCACGGAGAACGGGGCACGCGCGTGCCGTTGTTGTTCGCATAATTGCGTCCTTGCGATAGCAGGTCCACCCATGCTCGATTTAGCATCGAGGCATCGTCGCGCCCACGACGCGAGTGCACCCACGCGTGCCGCAAACGGCAGGTGCCGGGCTGACTTTTCCCGACCGCGACGACATTTCACGTCCGTTCCCCGTGCCCGGGGCTGGAATGTCTCCCTGGCTCGGTTTTCACTAGGAAGCGGAGCCGGGGTGGAGAATTATCGCGGCGCCACGGCGCCGCGCCGACGTCGGAGCGAGACGTCGCGGTCGCCCGCGAGTGTTCCGCCGTCTCTCCCGGCCGTTCTCTTCTCTCGCGCCCGAGATGGACGAGGAGGACGAAAGGCGACGCGAAAAAGAGACCAGGAGAAACACGGCGCGTGGTGACGCCTAATTAGCGGCGCCGGAAATGAGGCGTAGGCACCGCGAAATTAGTATACCGAGATATCCATCCGCCCACTCCTCTCTCTATCCCTCGCTCTCGGCGGAATGCGCCCGCCTGGATCCCCCGTACGTCCCGGACATCTTCACCGCGCCGGGGCGCGTCCTGGAGGAGAACGCCGAGTGAAGCGAACTTCCGAGATAGTTGCCCGACAGGTGCTTTGTGCAACTTAATCAAGGCGAGGTATCCACGGGAGAACTATAGTCGCCCCTTTCATCCCACGGCTGCGTCTCAGCGGATTTTTCCTAGAGAAAACTTAAATGGATACTACGTCTTTTACCTTTCAATAGATATTAAACAGAGCTTTATAATTACCGGGGAGGTTAAGCTTCTGTTGAAGTAATCGCTCGCACTGCAACATTACTGCGAGAGTATTTTTTAATTGAGAAAAGATTATCGTTCGGAGCTCGCGGTCGAAGGATTTAATAGGCAGAGGATGAGGAATGTATGTACGCGGGAAAATAATGCTGTTGAATTTAACGAATAATGAGGTTGCTTGAATTAAACGTTAACGTCACGGCCTGCCGCAAACATAAATAATTCACTCAATTGTATTTGCTATATGGATTTTCATTTTAAGCATTCAACTAAATATCCAGATTATTAAAACAACCATCTGATGTTTTTCGTTCATTAATATTGATTTTGTTGGTACATCATTTTTTTTCCGTGCGTACGTCTTCAATCTAGAATGCATTTTCTGGAGAAAAATGTGTGTCGTGCGCACATACGTCACGCGCTATAATTGTAAATCGCATATTCGGACCTCCATTAATATTTATAACGCCACTCAAGAGTGTTGCGATATCTTTTCGGGTAATTATAAACTCCATTATTTCATGCTGCGGGCTAACAACGACACACATTTGATAAACAGATAAATATAAAACATAATAATATGCAACGTCGATTATGGTGCACACAGGTGCTTTATTATTTATGAGCGACGAAATTATCCGACGTGCAAAAACGCAACCAAGTCCTCAAAAATTGTTTAAATTTTTACCCTGCAATAACACGCTCATTACGATGCACAACTCCTTTTCCGCCCCCTCTCCTCTCCCTCTCTCTCTCTCTTTCTCTCTCCCCCTTCATCTCTATGTATTTTAATGAATGTATGTGTTCGGATTAACTTCAGTAAAAATTTATATAATGGGTTGATTCAGAGGACGGATATACAAAGAGAATATTTAAATGAAAATGTCTGTCTGCACCGACTCATGTCACTTAGTTAGAAAGCTTTCGCTAATGTCAGTGTATTTTTATTCCCTACATGAATCGCACGAATTATACCAAATTAGCTACATTAAAAGAATTACGCTGACAAGAGGGTGCATTATAAAATGAGTTTACTGCAGAAAAGCTCCATATATTTCTGAAAAAAAAAATGAAAATATCGCGGGATATATATTTCCTAAATCTTTGCAATATATTGCATCCTAGATGCGACGACCTAGATACATGTTTATTTGTTTTCCAATGTATTCAAATTTCTATAACAATTTGTTAATTGCAATTTTATCAGAAAACTGGTAGTAATTTAATTATTATCGCGATGCTTGCTTTATAAGTGTACCGAATCATTCTGTATCAAATATTGCAATATGATTTCGATCTCTATACAAAGTCACGTGTATTAAAATTTTAATAAAAATTTATTAATTGCAATTTTATCAGAAAACTATTAGCAATTTAATTATTATCGCGGTGTTTTGCCTCATAAGTGCATCTAACCTAAACATTTTGTATCAAATATTACAATATGATTTCGATTCTTTACAAAATCACATATATTAAAATTTGAATAAAACTTTATTAATTACAATTTTATCGGAAAACTATTAGCAATTTAATTATTATTGTGATATACCGATAAGTGTACCTAATAAATTTGTATTAAATATTGCAATATGCCTTCGATTTCCACAGAAAATTTGTTAAAATTCACAGACGTTTGAATTATTACGCTTTATTTGTCGAGTCTGGCGGAAATAATTTAATATTTCTGTTTAAAATCAGAAGCGTGTATTAAAATTTTGGCCCGATGTTGGGCCTAGTGTCGCTCTCCGTCGGAGCGCGTTCGCGACAGTGGCGTAACTACAATGTTGGGGGCCCCGGGGCAAAAATTGAATAGGGCCCTTTATATAGGGGTCAAATTTAGGGATCATTAGAAGGTCAACTTGAAATTTTCAAATGGAAACGAAACCCCTATTTTTGACAACAAAAACGGATAGAACAGAAGATTAAGTCAAGATTTGTCATTGATCTAGCTATCTGTAAGTAATCTATAGCTCACACAAAACTCCCTCCTTTTTTCTTATACGGGCTTGGGACCAATTCTTTCGACCGTAACAGTCCAGAATATTTAGGGGGCCCTTCTAAGCTGGGGCCCCCAGACCGTGCCAGGGCTACCCGGGTGGTAGTTACGCCACTGGTTCGCGACGAGTCGCGCCGCGA